CGTAAATGTATTTTATTGGGATGTGTTAGACCAACACAAAGTGGCACATAATTGTGAAGTGGAGAGAAAATGATAAATGGTTTTCAAAATCTTTTACAAATAAATATGTGAAAAGTGTGACGTGCATTTGTATTCAGCCCCTCTGAGTCAATACTTTGAAGAACCACTTTTTGCGGCAATTACAGCTGCACGTCTTTTTGGGGATGTCTCTACCAGCTTTGCAAATATAGAGAGTTACATTTTTGGCCATTCTATGTTGCAGATAGCTCAAACTCTATCAGATTGGATGGAGAGAGTCTGTGAACAGCAATTTTCAAGTCTTGCCACAGATTCTCAAATTAGGTCTGGACATTGACTGGGCCAATCTAACACATGAATATGCTTTGATCTAAACTATTCCATTGCAGCTCTGGCTGTATGTTTAGGGTCTTGTCCTGCTGGAAGGGGAACCTCCGTCCCAGTCTCAAGTCTTTTGCAGACTTTAACAGGTTTTCTTAAATTGCCCTGTATTTGGCTCCATCCATTTTACCATCAACTCTGACCAGCTTCCCTGTCCCTGTGAAGAAAAGCATCCTCACAACATGATGCTGCCACCATGTTTCACGGTGGGGATGGTGTGTTCAATGTGATGTGCAGTGTTAGTTTTCCACCACACATAGCGTTTTGCTTTTAGGCCAGAAAGTTCAATTTTGGTCTCATCTGACCAGAGCACCTTCTTCCACATGTTTTGCTGTGTCCCCCACATGGTTTCCCCCAAAACTGCAAATGGAACTTCTTATAGCTTTCTTTCAACAATGGCTTTCTTCTTCCCACTCTTCCATAAAGGCCACAGTTGTGGAGTGCACGACTAATAGTTGCTTTGTGGACAAATTCTCCCACCTGAGCTGTGGATCTCTGCAGCTCCTCCAGAGTTACAATGGGCCTCTTGGCTGCTTCTCTGATTAATGCTCTCCTTGCCCAGCCTGTCAGTTTAGGTGGACGGCCATGTCTTGGTAGGTTTGCAGTTGTGCCATATTCTTTCCATTTTCGGATGATGGATTGAGCAGTGCTCCACAAGATGTTCAAACCTTGGGATATTTATTTATAACCCTAACCCTGCTTTAAACTTCTCCACAACTTTATTCCTTACCTGTCTGGTGTGTTCCTTGGCCTTCATGAGGCTGTTTGTTCACTAATGTTCTCTAACAAACCTCTGAGGGCTTCACAGAACAGCTGTATTTATACTGAGATTAAATGACACATAGGTGGACTCTATTTACTAATTAGGTGACATCTGAAGGCAATTGGTTCCACTAGATTTTAGTTAGGCGTATCAGAGTAAAGGGGGCTAAACAGAAATGCACACCACACTTTTCACATATTTATTTGTAAAAAAAATTTTAAAACTTTATAATTTTCCTTCCACTTCACAATCATGTGCCACTTTGTGTTGGTCTATCACATAAAATCCCAATAAAATAAATGTATGTTTTTGGTTGTAACATGAAAAAATGTGGAGGGGTATGAATACTTTTTCAAGGCACTGTAGCTTGGCAGCACATTTACAAAGCCTCAAGGAAAAGGAAAGTGCAGCTGTATGCACAGTATGGTTCAGTGGGCAGGCAGAGCATTTGCGCGGTGGGGGGGGATGGCTTTGGGGGGGCACAACTAAAATCTGAGGGGGCATAGCCCACACCAGCACCCCCCTAGATCCGGCCCACGGCCTGATATAAAACAACAAACTATCTACAGACACAAGGAGTTTGGAACATTAGCACCTAATAATCAGATTATTTACACTAAGTATCCAGACTATGTGTTGTGTTAAAACTGTACTCCAGGTATAAAAACTTTTATTGAAATATTTTTTTATAGTCACAAAAATATGAATCAGCTTTGTGTGCATCAAATGTTTTTGTATTTTCAGATGTTACCTTGTAAAAGTAGCAGTGACATCATCACTGTGTTGTATAGCCTGTGCAGAAAGCTGAGCTGTGGGAGGGTCCCAGCAGCTCCACCCACTATAAGCTGCCTGCAGAAAACTACATGAAGGGGTGGAGACAAGACCAGTCACCCTGCACAAAGAGTGAGAGCAGCAGTGACTGGTCTTTATTACAGGAAAAGTGCAGTTTTTTTATTCTGAATTGCAGTACTCTTCTGGAGGATATACAGAAAGGACACCAAGAATCAAGTAAAATTTCAAAAATGATCCCCGCACAAAAACACCTGCAAAATCAAACTTGTGTCAGCTAGCTTGTACATGCTGTCGTTCACCCACAGATAAAATACAGTCAGGTCCATAAATATTGGGACATCAACACAATTCTAACATTTTTGGCTCTATACACCACCACAATGGATTTGTAATTAAACGAGCAAGATGTGCTTTAACTGCAGACTGTCAGCTTTAATTTGAGGGTATTTACATCCAAATCAGGTGAACGGTGTAGGAATTACAACAGTTTGCATATGTGCCTCCCACTTGTTAAGGGACCAAAAGTAATGGGACAGAATAATAATCATAAATCACACTTTCACTTTTTAATACTTGGTTGCAAATCCTTTGCAGTCAATTACAGGCTGAAGTCTGGAACGCATAGACATCACCAGACGCTGGGTTTCATCCCTGGTGATGCTCTGCCAGGCCTCTACTGCAACTGTCTTCAGTTCCTGCTTGTTCTTGGGGCATTTTCCCTTCAGTTTTGTCTTCAGCAAGTGAAATGCATGCTCAATCGGATTCAGGTCAGTGACTTGGTCATTGCATAACATTCGACTTCTTTCCCTTAAAAAAAACTCTTATGAGCATATGAATATGAGCAGATAATATTGCCCGAAACACTTCAGAATTCATCCTGCTGCTTTTGTCAGCAGTCACATCATCAATAAATACAAGAGAACCAGTTCCATTGGCAGCCATACATGCCCACGCCATGACACTACCACCACCATGCTTCACTGATGAGGTGGTATGCTTAGGATCATGAGCAGTTCCTTTCCTTCTCCATACTCTTCTCTTCCCATCACTCTGGTACAAGTTGATCTTGGTCTCATCTGTCCATAGGATGTTGTTCCAGATCTGTGAAGGCTTTTTTAGATGTCGTTTGGCAAACTCTAATCTGGCCTTCCTGTTTTTGAGGCTCACCAATGGTTTACATCTTGTGGTGAACCCTCTGTATTCACTCTGGTAAAGTCTTCCCTTGATTGTTGACTTTGACACACATACACCTACCTCCCAGAGAGTGTTCTTGATCTGGCCAACTGTTGTGAACGGTGTTTTCTTCACCAGGGAAAGAATTCTTCGGTCATCCACCACAGTCATCCACCACAGTTGTTTTCCGTGGTCTTCCGGGTCTTTTGGTGTTGCTGAGCTCACCGGTGCGTTCCTTCTTTTTAAGAATGTTCCAAACAGTTGTTTTGGCCACGCCTAATGTTTTTGCTATCTCTCTGATGGGTTTGTTTTGTTTTTTTAGCCTAATGTTGGCTTGCTTCACTGATGGTGACAGCTCTTTGGATCTCATCTTGAGAGTTGACAGCAACAGATTCCAAATGCAAATAGCACAGTTGAAATGAACTCTGGACCTTTTATCTGCTCATTGTAATTGGGATAATGAGAGAATAACACACACCTGGCCATGGAACAGCTGAGAAGCCAATTGTCCCATTACTTTTGGTCCCTTAACAAGTGGGAGGCACAAATGCAAACTGTTGTAATTCCTACACCGTTCACCTGATTTGGATGTAAATACCCTCAAATTAAAGCCGACAGTCTGCAGTTAAAGCACATCTTGTTTGTTTCATTTCAACTCCATTGTGGTGGTGTATAGAGCCAAAAATGTTAGAATTGTGTCGATGTCCCAATATTTATGGACCTGACTGTATAAACCAAAATATAAAATGTGCAGTGGTCAACAGTTTCATACCAATATAACAATGAATACCATAAAATTAGTGAAGACCTGTGACTTAATTGATAGGGGCAACAAATGTGAAAGCGGTCAATTTAAATGAATGCCTTCAAAAGAAAACTCTGTGAACACTTAGTGACCCAACAAATGTTCAATATATATTAGAAAAAATCAGTTAATATATAAAAAAAATCCACCACATGAAATCCTCATCATTCATAATTGCTTGCGACCAATGCAATTTTTTATCCACCTTTAAGTATTTTTTTAGACCTTTAAGTATTAGGAGGTATAAAAGTGTTCAAATGTAACTACAACAGTAGTACAATACATGGTCAGATATTCCCAAAAACACAATCTGAGAACCAACGTTTTATTGTCTGATTTAACTTCACAAATCACCTCGATAAAATAAAATAGAATCTAGTGCTCTCTGTATATAAGGCTGGCCATACATTATACAATTATCTGGAGATTTTTGGTTTATATTTACCAAAAACCATATAATAGGAGGACAAACCTAAACAACACTTTCAGTTGTATCCAATTAGGCCGGCCCTTGCACTACACAGTTGAAGGTAAATCTAAAGGAAATTGGGTAGAAAATTGGAAGATAATTGTATAATGTATGGCCAGCCTAACTCTTTAAATAATCACAGCAAATATACTCACATAAAACACATGGAGTAAAAGCATCCAAATAGGTACAGCTGCAATCATCTGCTCACCTTCCCAGCCAAGACACACATGCTGATATTACAAAGGTAAGCTGAGCACTCTGTCAGCTGGGAAGGAAGGACTGTGATGATGTTATGGTGGTGGTGGTGGTGGCTGCGCCCTAACTCACTACATCCCAGAGGTGGGACTTTATCAGAGGGTAAGAATCAGGGCTGTTAGAAATCACGGGGCCCCCTACAGCCTACCTGACAGGGTTGGCCTCCTCCAAAACCCCAAATATCAATCCCCCAGAATACACTAAAATCATTATTAGCAGACGCAAAGACAACATAACTTACAAAATTCCTGCTAAAACAAAAATATAAAACTGTATTGAGGTAATAAACAAAGCCCCATCACAGTGCCCCTTTACATCAGGATCCCCATCAGAGTGCCCCCTTATATCAGGTGTCCCCATCAATGTGCCCCCTTACATCAGGGTCTCCATCAGAGTGTTCCCTTACATTAGGGTCCACATCAGAGTGTTCCCTTATATCAGGGTCCCCATCAAAGTGCCTCCTTACATCAGGGTCCCCATCAGAGTGTTCCCTTACATCAGGGTCCCCATCACAGTGCCCCCTTACATCAAGATCCCCAATCAGAGTTCCCCCTTACATCAGGGTGCCCATTAGAGTGTTCCTTTACATCAAGATCCCCATCAGAGTGTTCCCTTACATCAGGGTCCCCATCAAAGTGCCCCCTTACATCAGGGTCCCCATCAACGTGCCCCTTACATCAGGGTCCCCATCAGAGTGATCCTTTACATCAAGATCCCCATCAGAGTGCCCCCTTACATCAGGTTCCTCATCAGAGTGCCACCTTACATTAAAATCCCCGTCAGAGTTTTCCCTTACATCAGGGTTCCCATCAGCGTATTCCCTTACATCAGGGTCCCCATCAGAGTGCCCCCTTACATCAAAATCCTCATCAGAGTGCCCCCTTATATTAAGACCCCATCAGAGTGTTCCCTTACATCAGATTCCCCATCAGAGTGATCCTCACATCAGATCCCCATCAGAGTGCCCCCTTACATCAGGGTCCCCATCAGAGTGCCCCCTTACATTAAAATCCCCATCAGAGTGCCCCCTTACATCATGATCTCCCCATCAGAGTGTCCCCTTACATCAGGGTCCCCATCAGAGTGTTCCCTTACATAAATTGTCCCCAACAGAGTGCCCCCTTACATATGATCAGTTATCACCATCAGAGTGCCCCCTTACATGTATTGTCCCCATCAGAGTGCCTCCCTATACCATCCGCTTGCATCAGACTGGCTCATGGATCAGTGTATGCACTCTCAGAAACCTGGGAAAAGGGGGGAGGCAGTTAAAATCTGGGGGGCACAGCCCACCTCAGCACCCCCCTAGATCTGGCCCTTCTGGCTACACTGGGCCCATGCTGACCACGAGTTAGATGTATCTATGTATAAATTGCATCATTTATAAAGCATATTTTATTAACAAGGACCAAGTGCACAAACTGCAGAAAATCACAGCAACCACCGAAATTCTTTTTTCAGTAGTCTTCCTTAGGTTAATTGAAATCAGATGAGCTGATATAGGCTGCAGCATTCTGCCTATCATCCAGCACTTTGCACCAATTCAATAAAGTAAACCTGTCAAAAAAAGTTCACACTTCAAAGGAAAGAGCAGGGAGCAGGATATATCTCGGCATTACTAAGTCACATTGGTTTTTTAAGTAAAAAAGAGTTTGATATATACAGTATTTCTTGGTATGAATAAAATATTGTTTTTTTCCCAGCTTCCGCACAAAGCCTCACAAAGTTCTCATAATCTACGGCTATTATTGTGATTGTTTCATACCATTAGAGACTGAAGAGGGTCTGTGAAAGTAAAAGTATTACTAAACCCACAACAGTAAAATCGGTCTGTATATGCAGTAAAGCATGCTTGTTATACTCACTGTGGAACCTACGGGGTTAGTCCTCTGCATTGTGTAAAAAAAGGATGTTTGATCCTTTATTCTCTGTTCCTCCCCTTTTTCAAGCAACCACCTCTTATCTCCAGACTGAACCGTAGGCATGCACATGCTTAGTTTGGTGTATATTGCTAGAGAGGTTTTTTTTTCTTGGGAGAATGCATGTAGTCAGCACAGGACTAATCAGCCCAGACAGAGGTCAGGGATCCTGCATCCTCCTAGAGTAGAATGAAAACTCCTCCTACAAGCTTTAACATGTGCTCTGTTGAACACTGATATAAGTCACAAGACTGCTCTAACTGCTGATGAGAAAAGGTATTTAGCAGTTCTTATTTACTAAAATAATTGCCTTTCCATGTTCTGTGTACTGTGGGAGAGCAGATATAGTGAATGCAGGGTCCTGGGTTTAGTATCACTTTAACCATTTGCCCTCCTGAGGATTTACCCCCCTTCCTGACCAGGCCATTTTTTGCATTACGGCACTGTGTTACTTTAACTGACAATTGCGTGGTCATGCAACGCTGCACCCAAATGAAATTTACATCATTTTTTTCCCACGAACTAAGATTTCTTTCAGTATTTGATTGCCTGTGCGTTTTTATTTTTTGTGCTATAAAAAAAAAACTAAAATTTTGAGAAAAAAAAAACAATATTTTTGACTTTTTGCTATTAAACATGTCCAGTAAAAACATTTTAAAAATCAAGTTTCATCATAAATTTAGGCCAAAATATATTCTGCTACATGTCTTTGCTAAAAAAAATCCCAATACATATAAATTAATTGGTTTTACATGAAGGTTATAGCGTTTACAAATGGTGATATAGATACTGGAATTTTTTTTTCCTACTAGTAATGGCGGTGATCAGCGACTTATAGCGGGACTGCGGGACTGTGACGGACACTGGGGGGAACTGACTTGGTGTCACTGACATCCCCAGTGACACCAATACAGTGATCAGTGCTAAAAACAAACACTGACACTGTACTAATGGCACTGGGCAGGAAGTGGTTAACATGAGGGGCGATCAAAGGGTTAACTGTGTGCAGGGAGTGTTTTACTAGGGGGCAGTGTGTTGGTGCTTCACTGTAAGCACACTGCTCTGAATGGCTGTGCTGTCTAGAGCAGTGTGACCAAGCTGACAGGGAGGAGGACTGTTAGTAAACAAACAGTCCTCCTTCCTGTCGGTGATCGTCAGAAATCACGGGGCACCGACGAGTAATTACCAACCGGGACCAGATGATTGACAGCCGCGACTGCGAATGGCGGTGCGGGTAGGGCGTGCGACAGTTTGTGCGTTCCCCCTACCCAAAAATGCTAAATCACGTATATATGTGTGATTTTGCACACCCGTGCCGCCCTGTAGCAGTATTTCTGCTATAGGGCGGTCAGTAAGCAGTTAAATAAAAGGATCAGTAAGAGAAATGTAACCACATGCAGCAGATTTTACCATGTCTAAAGCTGAACTCTAGGCAGATATAGAAGACAAAAACGTAATACAGTTCTATACTCATTGTTACAGTATATCCTAATTGTTATGCAAGCATTGTAAGTACCTGGATTTGACTTGGTATCAGCCTTTTGCTGTTCCTGTACAGCTGAGCTCAGACTGGGAGAAGAAGAAGCAGAAGAAAGCAGTTCAGTTTATGTGCTGACAAGAAGCATGCTGACTGAGAAGAAATCAGACTCCCCAGACTGAATTTGCCACACTCCCCAGTGCCTGTGCCATCCTCCAGAACCAGTTTTTTCCTGCTTCCCAGGGTGAGCGGCTTGTAGCTAGTCAGTGGCTACCAGTGTCAGGCACAGTCCTAAAGGGCTGGCATGCATGTTGCTCGACCTTCGAACAACGCCTCTACACATGAGTAGCCAGACTTTCCCCCGAGTGCCCCAATCATTCCAGTGATCCCTTGGCACTCTTTGCCCTCTGAGACCTCCAGTGTTCTTCTCTCAGCAATCATCACTGCTTCCCTATTGGCTGATTTACAAAAAACTGGAGCGTGCAAAATCTGCTGCAGCTCTGCATAGAAACCAATCAGCTTCTAGTTTTTTTGTCAAAGCTTCACTGAACAAGCTGAAGTTGGAAGCTGATTGGCTACCATGGTTTTAGTAAATCAAACCCTGTGTGTTCTTGCCTGTAATCCAAATCCCAGCATTTGTGTTATCCTCTGCACTCCAAGTCTACAGCTTGTCTCCAGTGTGTGATCCCACTGTACTCCCTACTGACCCGTGATCTCACCACCTCTGTGCTGCAAGAGACTCTTCCTTCAAACCTATCCTGTCCTAGGTAGCTGCCTGTGTGGGTGAGTGAGAGAGCTGCCCCCTGGCAGCTGTCAGCAGTGATAACCATCACCCCTTGCAGGGTGCTATGGAGAAGGCCACACATTCTGTTAGACTTTGCACCTTGGACCTTTTTGAAGACTCTCAACTCTGTTGAACAAGCGGGCACGCTGAGCTCTCTCCCTTTAGCTGCCTTCCCAAGACTCCTCATTCTCTCCATAAATCCTCCGCGGCTTAATCCACTGCCAGTCCCAGCAGCTACAACCAAATCCTGGTTAGCCAGTCACCTATATGTGACAGAACTCATCACATCACTCATCACATAACATCACTGTGCTGCTTCTCCTTCACGGCTTACTGACAGGATATGGGTAGGCACATGACAGCCTGGGCTCAGAGGGAGTGGGCTAAATGATGCTGGCTGTCATTTAGCCTGAAAGACTAAGGACATCTTGTGGCAGAAAAGAAGTACTGCAAGAAATAGCTCCAGAAAGAATGTGAGTATTGCAGCAAGAGCTGCTTTTTTAATTTTATATACGTTTACAAAGCAAAACATAATGGCACTGAACGACTCACAGCTCTGTGTTGAGAAACATGCCCAAATATCCAACAGGAATCAGGCTCACTATCTTTGCTGCCTTTAACAGCTGTTGTAATCCCAGTGTTCTTTGGACAGAATAGAGGCCATAATTCTTTCACTGTAGAAAACTTACAGAAGTACTCAGGTTTTCAAACTTTGCTCCTCGGTATATCTTGTAAGATAAAAAGAAAAGGCCCTCAGAAGAGCTGTTTTCACATGAAACACCACGCTTTGTCTGGGTTCTTTGGTCCCCAACTACCTGGACAAAGCAGGATGTTGTACATAAAACCGCTGTTGGGGGGGCCTCATATGCTTTCCTGTGGGATGTGCAGAGAAAAATAATTTCAAGGGCTATAATTCCGTTTGAAGTATGTAAAATAGACCTATAGAGTTTGCTAAAGCGAAATGATAAAAAGTAACCTCATTTATTAAAGTGACTTCAATTGTATGGCCAGTCACATTGTTCTTTTTTTTTTATAGATGTCATCCAGGGCTCCACTTTCCATCACTTGCTGTCAATATGACAACAGATTCACCAAACAGGGAGAAAAAATCTCCAACAGCAACACAGAAAGATTTTTATATTTTAGGTAGAGTAAGGAAAGGCTAAAACCCCAGATTTTAGCCTTTCCTCAGATTTTTGTTGCAATAGGCAAAAAATATCCAGCACACCAAAAAGGAAATCTCACATATTTACTGAGATCTCAATAGCAAAACATTCAGTAAAAATCACCAACATTTTGGAGACTCACAGGTCCCCTTATTCAATGTGACAGATGTCTGTCCCCTTGAGAAATGGAATGTGTAAGTCTCTATATGATTTTTACTGTACGTTTTGCTATTGAGATCTCAGTAAACATTTGAGATTCCCTTTCCGGAGTGCTGGACATTTTTTTGCCTGGTATCTCCATTGGTTGGGCATGCAGGATCAGAAAGGTGAAGGTGAGGGATGAATGATATGACCGATTTTTGTTGCTGTCTATTTCACTGTTGCAATTCTGTAGCTCTGGATAGCAGTAAAAACCTGACAGGGGTTCTAAGCTTTTTTGACATTTTTGGCTTAGTTCTCAATAAATGTGTCATGTTTGACATAACACAAATGTCTTCATTTTGGGTAAGCTGTAGAGTAGAATAAAAGTAAATCATAAAAATACTGCCATAAAGGTTGAGATGCATTTCAAAATTGTATGTAATTGAATCATTTAATTTAAAAAGTCTTGTGTGCTACTTATCAGCACACCAATGCTGATACTCACAAATACTTTGTCCAAGTCTGTGGCAGTTCCTGTTCACTTGCCTGATG